ATGCTCGTTCCTTCAGAAGAGTCGACCGTAAAAAGATAAAACATGAATTTCAGGGTACGCAAATATTTCTGCCAACCCGTTGTTGTGCCCCACCTTCATGAGAGTACAGGAAATTCCAACGGCAGCGTGTGTATGCTCGCCTTTTGATAAAGGCATGAATTTGTCATCTCCAACGACAACAAACTCCAACCTTACGACAAGGACAACGACGACGATGACGACGACGACGGTGAAAAGCAGCGGAAGAAAAATCTTCGTTGTTGTTGTTGTTGTTGTCGTTGTTATCATTTCACTTCGTATCGCGCGCGCGGAAGATAGAGAGAAAAGTGCGCACACATATCCTTGCTCGGAGCGTAAAAGGGGGAAAGCATTCCTAAAACATCTTGAGCATATCGTAGCGCATTTTCCAAATGTGTATCTGATGATGATGGCGATGGCGATGTTCCGAGCGGCAAGGCAAGGAAGATGCGTTCCAAAACTCGGTCACCTCCTTATTCATGGCGAAGGCAGTTTGGTGCTCGCATTCCTTTCTTCTTGGAAGTAGCTGCCGGGCCCTGCAGCCATGGAAAAGTCGCTTTATGTGCCATCATCAGTGAACCCGTGATCCGACGACGACGGACCGACCGACAAGGCCAAACGGCTTACTTACCACCCCCTCGTCAATTTTCCCAGAGCCTTATTACCGGAGCGCGTAGGTACAACACAAACAACGAACCACACGGCAAATAGAATCCGGAGACATTCCAGGCAAAATGGGAAAAACTTCAAAGGCGTGCAGACGGAGGATTTTCGCGGAAAATGTTGACTGAATGGGATATCGCTCCAGTATGGGAAAAAGTGTCACTATGGAGATGCGAGCGCACGCGAACGCAATTTGGACCGAGACGAGACGGTCGGTAAAATGGCTTTCGTCGGTACACGCGATTCCAGGAACGGATTCATTCTAGTAGAGTGGTTGGTTGCTGGTTTTCCGCTAGATTTAGGTAAAGGGTGATACGGTCAAAATTTGGTCAATATCAACTTGACGTATTTCTTTCAATTTTGCATTTAAAAAACCTGAACACCCCTCATTTTGAAGGTGTGTGTGTGTAGAATGTTGCTCCTATTTTGATTTTGGAATTCACTCTTCAGTTGTCAAAATGCCGTCCAAGCAAGAAGAGCAGCGTATCAAAATTTTGCTCGCGCATCGCGAAAATCCGAGCTACTCGCACGCAAAGTTGGCAAAATCGCTAAAAGTTGCCAAATCAACCGTTACAAATGTAATTAAAGTGTTTGGGGAACGTTTGTCGACAGCCAGGAAGTCTGGATCGGGGGGAAATCGAAAACCAGAAGCCGCTGAGACGACAAAGAGAGTTGCTGGTAGTTTCAAGCGAAACCCTAACCTCTCTCTCCGAGATGCCGCAAATAAGCTGGGTGTATCGTCTACAACCGTGCATCGAGCCAAAAAACGAGCCGGACTATCGACTTACAAGAAGGTAGTGACTCCAAATCGCGATGATAAACAAAATACGACGGCCAAAGCGCGATCCCGGAGGCTGTACACGACGATGCTGACGAAGTTTGACCGTTTGACTGCGTGGTAATGGACGACGAAACCTACGTCAAAGCCGACTACAAGCAGCTTCCGGGACAGGAGTTTTATACGGCAAAAGGAAGGGGAAAGGTAGCAGATGTTTTCAAGCACATGAAACTGTCAAAGTTTGCAAAGAAATATCTGGTTTGGCAAGCCATCTGTACCTGTGGCTTGAAAAGCAGCATTTTCATAGCTTCCGGGACTGTCAACCAAGAAATTTACGTGAAAGAGTGTTTGAATAAACGTCTGCTGCCTTTCCTGAAGAAACACGGTTGTTCCGTACTGTTTTGGCCGGATTTGGCATCTTGCCATTACGGTAAAAAGACCATGGAGTGGTACGCCGCCAACAACGTGCAGGTGGTTCCCAAGGACAAGAACCCTCCCAACACGCCAGAGCTCCGCCCAATTGAGAAATGCTGGGCTATTGTCAAGCGGAACCTAAAGAAGACCAAAAAAAACTGCTAAGGGCGAGCAGCAGTTCAAGGCAAACTGGCTTTCTGCGGCGAAGAAGGTGGACAAGGTGGCTGTACAAAATCTGATGGCAGGGGTCAAGCGTAAGGCCCGGCAATTCGGATTTGGAAAAGCGGATGCCTAACTAAATATTTTTCCTGAATTTTATACTAATTGAACTTGAAAAAGAAATTTAATTTCATTTTTTAAATAAACGATTTCACCGATTTACACGCGTTTTCCCTTGACCAAATTTTGACCGTATCACCCTTTACGCTGTGCAAGCAAACAAACAAAGTTTGGATTTCCTGGAATCCTGGGCGAATCGTTTGCTGGGGAATTTTCCGACGAGGAATGCCACCAGTAGCGGTACTTCGGTTCGGTTGGATATCAAATTTTAGGCTTATATTGAAAGCAGTTAACAGCTACGAATTGGAATCCAAAATCAATTCTAGTTCTGCCTGATTATCAATCATGCACCTTGGTCCGGAAGCAGAGCACCCACTGAACCGATCAATTTCAGTAAGTGGTCAGTCTGGCCTGCACCATGACCCGGAAACTGTTTCCAATGGGGTAAGCCCGCAGGCGGAAAGAGAACCACGAATTCCCAAAATTTCAAGCCTTCATTCAATTAGACCGTGCGCAGAATTCGCATTTTGCCGATTGATGCCGGGATGGATTTCTGATTGCGCTTCCGGGACTTGTTTAATTGGTAAAGTGGTGCAGGAAATTTCGAGTTGGCGGCTTTGCCAATTAGGTTTAATTATGGGGCGCTCTATCGTTCGTTTCTGTTCAATCGGGGCTCTGAATTATGGTTGTTTTGACCTGCCTGCACTTTTATTTATTCAACGTGACGATGGTTTCCACTAGGGTGTCGGGACAGTAAATGTTTTAAAATTGAATTTGCTGTAAATGTAACGGTTTACTTGTTCGGGCTCGTTTTTCGATCCTGATATTTGCAATTAGATTTATCGAAATGCAATTAAGCCAGAAGCCGTTTAATTGATCGTTATTAAAAATAATTACACTTCGCGTGGGAAACATTGTTTGCAGCGATTACCGTATGATAACATTACGAGTGATTGTCATGGGAAACATCTGGCTTGTGGTCTGTTGAGCTGCAACGTTTCGCAATTTCGGATAATTTCAACCTTTTCCCATGCAAATTTCAAAATAGAGAGAGCATGAGCGTGAGCGTGATTGACCAACCGCGGATGCTACTTCGATCTTTAACTACACAGAGATGCTTCGATGCTTCTTCTTCAACGAGCATAAGCTGCTGATCTCTTACTTTACTACAAGCAATATCAACGCTGGCTGCGTCTGAATGCAGGTATATTGGAAAATGGGTTTGAATGCATTGATCTGATACTGACTTTGTTGAAAGTTGGGAAATCGTCTGTAATTCCACGATTAAATCATTTGTTCGATTCGCAGCAGGATTCGTCTTGGTAAACGATACACTGGATTAAAACGATTTGGAGGATTTAGGATTGGACCCATAGTCTTCTGCTAAGTAAGCAAAAACGGTCATCTACAAGGGCACCCAGCCCCTTATTTCACAACACGACACTAATGATCGATTTGTTGATACAGTTTGTTACTTTAGTCAGTAAATTTGTACAATAAGAAGCCCAAAAGTGTGGATTGTAGGTCACTGAAACTCTTTGAAGGAGACCTTAAAGGACATCTTAGGATTCTGAAAACTGTTAGTATCAAGTCTCTTGTAAGGAACAACGAAGACTCGATGGAGAAAAGATACAATTTCATTTCGCATTTTCAAGTATTTGGCCCTGGGCGTAATTCATGGCAATTTGCTGGTCCGATTCTTTGTCCAGGATCGATTGTTTTTTATGCAGATGGTTCAAGATTGAACAATCAAGTGGGAGCAGCACTGGCGTGTATAGAGTGGGGCAAGATGGGGCAATTGTAAACAAAAATTTTATTTCCACACTTTCAAAATTATGATGTAACATAAATGAATAACTCTGGTGGATAAATTGAATCACGCTAAAAATTTGGAGGCACACATTTAACTTAAAATTTCTGGTGGAAAGTTCGCAACACTGTGGTGAATGTAAAAGCAAGGTTTATTCATTTTTCTGGTGCATAATTTGCATCGTTCTCATGAATGCAATCTTCATTGAAAATTTATGGTGGAAAATTTGCACCATTCTGGTGCATGAAGAGGCAAAGCCTGAAAATTGCACCATAAAGGTGCCTGGAAAAACAAACTTCACTTACAATTTTTGGTGCACCGTTCTGGTGAATGGCGAAGCTTGCTTTATTAAAAATTTCTGGTGCAAAATTTGCATCGGTCTGTTAAATGAAATGAACAGAAAATTCCTGGTGAAGAACTTGCACTGTCTGGTAAATGAAGGCACAAGCTTTATTTAAAATTCAGCTATATTGAAAATTTCTGGTGGAAAATCTGCACCGTTGTGGTGAACGGATGGGCAAGCTTTTCGGAAAATTTTTGGTCTTAAATTTGCATCCTGCTGCTGAATAGAGAAACAAATTTTAATAATAATTTCTGGTTTAATATTTGCACCATTCAAATGATTGGAAGGAAGTTGCTTTACTGAAAATTTATGACGAAGAATCTGAAAATAGGGGCAAGCTTTATTTGATGGAAAACCTGACACCTTCTGATGATAGGAGAAGCAAGCAATATTGAAAATTTATGGTGGAAAATTGAAAAAAGTTAATCTGCACCAATCAGAAGAAACAACGCCGATTGACACTTCGGCATGGAAAATTCCGGATGTAAGGCTAGCAGATCCTCAGTTCAGTATTCCCGGAAGTGTCGACCTCGTCATTGGCAGTGAAACTTATTGGGAACTCCACACGGGTAGGAAGCCCGTTTGGTTGGGCGGTTACTGTTCCCGCAGCTCGCACGGCTACCTGCATTCCACGATTCTGCTATCTCTCCACCGTAGATGAACCGCTGGAATCCACTCTACAAAGGTTTTGGGAAATGGAAACAATTCCATCGGATCCGGTCCAGTCTACCGAAGAAAGTCGTTGTGAGGAGCTGTACGCTGCAACGACTACGCGCGATTCATCAGGAAGGTACGTTGTGCGTCTCCCACGGGTTGAAGATCCCGAAATCATGCTCGGAGAATCGAGATCAATAGCAGATCGACGCTTTCTGAGCTTGGAACGTCGACTCGAGCGAGATCCTGCGACCAAGGACTCGTATCATAGGTTCATGGAGGAGTATCTGCAACTTGGGCACATGAAGAAGGTGGAAGAGCCTGTAGATGACCACATTCAACACTGCTATATTCCACATCACGTCGTATTCAAGGAATCCAGTACGACCACGAACGTCAGGGTTGTCTTCGACGCGTCATGCAAGACTTCGTCGAACTATTCCTTGAACGACACTCTGCTTGTTGGACCTGTTGTTTAGCAAGATCTCTACTCGATCTATTTGAGATTCCGGACAAGAGTTGTCGCCATCGTAGCAGATGTCGAGAAGATGTATCGACAAGTGCTGCATCATCTGATCGACCTAGTATTCTTCCGCATACGATATCGTAGAAGTCCTACCGATCCAATCGCCACATACGAACTACAAACTGTCACCTACGGAACAGCAAGCGCTCCTTATTTGGCAACGAAGACATTTCAGCAGATCGCGAAGGATCATGAGCATTTGTATCCCGCTGCAGTCAACTCGGTTGTTGAAGATTTCTACGTCGACGATCTTTTGTCTGGAGCATCGGATGTGGAAGCTGCGATTATTCTCCGCCGAGAAATCACTGCCATGCTTAGTTACGCTGGGTTCATGCTGAAGAAGTGGGCGTCGAATGCCCATGAAGTGCTAGAGGATGTTCCACCAGAGGATCTTGCAATTCAGCCTATCCATGATCTACAGGATGAGCAGACAATCTCCACACTTGGTCTACTTTGGGAGCCAACCGCCGATATGCTACGGTTCAAGGTTGAATTACCTCTTCCTGCTGCCATCCTTATAAAGCGGAAAGTGATGTCGTATATAGCTCAAATATTCGACCCACTGGGATTATTGGGTCCAACGACAACCAAGGCAAAACTCTTCATGCAACATTTGTGGACGTTGATGCGCAATGGTGTTTCCTGTGAATGGGATTCTCCACTACCAGAGAAACTTCAAGCCGATTGGAAGCAGTTTCACTCTACCCTCCACATTCTCGCTGATATCCGTATTCCTCCATTGGTGTTGGCTTCCGGAGTCAACAATATCCAGCTGCATTTCTTCGCCGATGCATCCTCCATTGCATACGGTACGTGCTGCTACGTTCGCACGGAATCAATGGTAGGAGTATTTGTACACCTTTTGACATCTAAGTCTAAGGTCGCCCCGTTGTCTACACATCATTCCATCGCTAGACTTGAGCTCTGTGCCGCTCATCTAGCTACTCAACTTTACAAGAAAGTAGAAGCGACCTTGAAGGTTTCAGCAACGGCATTCTTTTGGTTGGATTCCAGTACCGTGCTTCAGTGGTTGGTCTCCAAATCGCTGGAAGACATTCGTCGCCAATCGCGTGTCTAAGATCCAGACCACCACGGATATCAATCACTGGAGACACATCGCAGGCTTAGAGAATCCTGCGGACGATATTTCTCGTGGCCTGAATCCAACGGATATTCTGCACCGTTATCGGTGGTGGCATGGCCCACCATGGTTGTCGCAGACTCGCGATCTCTGGCCCAAGACCATCATCGATCAGGAGTACTCCCCCGCAGCGTCCGAGGAAGGGCGCAAAATTCCGATTGTTGCAATGACTACTGCACAAGCAACTCTCTGTGAGGATTTGTTCGCACGGTACTCCAGCTACAGCAAACTACGCCGAGTCTTGGCATTCTGCGAACGCTATCTACAGTGCCTGAAAGATCGTTCTATCCTGCGCAAATCCGATCCCAGTTTCGCTGATCTAGTAGTACTTCAAGGAGATAAAGCCGCATCCGTTTCACGAGTTACTGTTCGCTGAGGAGCTCTCCGATCTTGCAAATGGCGAACGTGTCATTAAGTCATCTTCACTCAAATGGCTGAACCCGTTCGTAGACCAAAACGATATCATCCGCGTCGGTGGTCGTATCCGTAACGCCGCGTTATCCGACGCAATCAAACACCCGATTGTTCTGTCCGCTAAACATCCGCTGTCTGCTCTGCTGGCTAGCAGTTACCACCAAAAGCTACTGCATGCAGGTCCACAACTCCTGCTAGCAACTCTCCGCCAGAAGTTTTGGATTCTGGGCGGCAGAAACCTCATAAAATCCGTCTTCCACCAATGCCACACTTGTTTTAGAAGCAAGCCAACTCTAGTCCAGCAGAGCACAGCCGATCTGCCGGTATCGCGAGTTTCGCCGACGCGTCCGTTTTCCGTGTGCGGTATCGACTACTGTGGACCGTTCTACATCAAGTCAGCAGTTCGAAAGCGTGGTCCTACGAAAATCTACGTGGCCATATTCGTTTGCTTCTCAACCAAAGCTGTTCACATCGAGTTAGTGAGCGATTTGTCAACTCCTGCGTTCCTAGCTGCACTACGCGTCTAGTCGCCCGCCGAGGAAAAGTCGTCGAGCTCCATTCTGACAATGCTACTGCCTTCAAAGGTGCTTCGCATACCTTGAATAGGATTTACCGAATGCTAAAGATTGAAGCTGCTGACCGTGCGCAAATCTTCGATTGGTGCTCCGAAAATGAAATCGTCTGGAAGCTCCACACTTCGGAGGCCTCTGGGAAGCCGCTGTCAAATCTGCGAAAACTCATCTGCTGAAGACCGTTGGTAACGTCAACTTAGCCTACGAGGACCTGTTGACATTGTTAGCACAAGTCGAGATGTGCCTCAACTCTCGTCCGCTTACGCCGATACCCGAGGACCCATCTGACCTAGAAGTCCTAACGCCAGGACACTTCCTTGTTGGAAGCAGCCTACAAGCGGTTCCTGAACCGAACTGGAAGGATACTGCTAATAATCGCTTGGACCATTGGGAATTGACCCAGAAACGGCTGCAGGTGATCTGGTCGCGCTGGTACCCGGAGTATCTACAACGGCTACAATCTCGTGCAACTAAGGGTTGCAATCCGCCAGTCACCATCGAAGTTGGTGCCATTGTCATTATAAAGGAAGACAATGTTCCACCAACAAATTGGCCGTTGGGGAAAATTATCAAGCTTCATCCTGGAAAAGATGGTGTTGTACGAGTGGTGACTCTTCGAACAGCATCAGCTAAAGAAGTCGTGCGCCCCGTAGCACGAATCGCGTTACTTCCGTCGATGAAATCATCATCAACCTTGTGACCAGGTAGAGCAACCCATTCCGGGAAAATTTGCTCGATGCGCACCTGCACATTGCACAGGTAATTGTAGGTCCAATAAATTACACTTGCCTCGTAAGATCTACCTGTTCCTTCTCTTGTTCCCGGTCTCCGTCGAGGATCAACCTGTGAACCCGTGGTTAAGCGTGCAAATGGAGAATCATGAGCAGCCGGAATTCTTGCAGTTCTTGCAGGGAAAAGGGATGGTTTTTTTTTGTAAATAAGTAGATTAAAGATCAGTTGAAATATTCCATATTTTCCATATTTCAAGGTGGCCGGAATGTTAGAGTTAATACATTAGAATAAACGTAATAGTAAAGTGTAACTACAACAGCATATAGAGCTTACAAAACCTTTAAATAGTAAAAAATAAACTGAAACGATGCCTTCAAAATATACAAAACTTCAGAAAGGTAACTGAAGAATATATTTTCTTTGGTTTATATTTTTAACCTGTAACTTCCAAGAAATAGTAGAAACTTCAAAAACTATTTTCAATGTTATTCTGGATTTTCAGAACCAATTCTACACAATCAAACATTTCGCTGCCAGTCTTTTCGGACGAACCGATTCTTACAGGGTTCATAAATTGGAAGACAGCGACCGAGTTGCTGGGCAAACAAAATCGCAGTGATACCCATGTTGGTAGTATGGAAGCGTGGAAATTTTTGTTTACATGCGAAAGGAGAATGCGATTCTTATTGGTCATTCATGTCGGTTTGTCGGTGCTATTACCACCATCTGACGTGACTTCAGCTGAATCCAACCACCAAGGCAACAATATTGCAGCAAATGTATCATTTCGGTTAAAGGCCTACTATCGTAACTATTTAACGAACCGATCATAAACGACATCGTCGATGAGATTAAATTGTTAAATTTCATTGGCTGTCTGAAATCAGTTTGCATTGAAGAAGATGAACCACCATCAGAGCAAAAAATAAATAAAATAAGCTAAAATGAACAGTAGGAAAACAGTGGTGGGTGGATAGCACCGTCCACCACGCACTTTGGAGTACTCCCCAGGTTAAATGCACCATAGAAAAAAATTGCCCCTCCTTAACAAGATTCCTGTGCACGCTAGTGGGGAGCAGGAGTAGCGGGCTCAGGGATAGACAGATCGGTTCCTATGGGCAGATGGCCAACTGTGTTCCAAGCTGCAATCCAAGCAATTTTTGAGTGTTCTATTATATGTTTGCATAGAAACTATAAGAGTTCAAATATATGCATAATGTCCGATAGTCAATGTTGGGGTTAAAACCGACCGACCTCCAACACAGTAAGGGAATTGTAGCCAGCGGAAGAACGTTTCCTGGTACTGTGGTGTTGAGGTATTCGCTCTCTTGTTGATAGGAATGCATTAGGATTCCGTCTCGTCGTCAATCCAATTGGAGATTTCGTCCAAAATAGGCAATAAGCAGCACTTATATTAATATTCACAACACTAGTATACACATACTATATTTATTAACAAAATACCGGACTATGCAAAATTTAAAGAAACGTTTAACACATTAAAATTTGTCGTACTGAGCCTCCTACCCGGCGGCTGTTGATATTGAGGATCCAGGTTGAACTGGTTGTTCAATCAGGCCTTGCCTGTGTGGTTAGTCTTCGAATTCCGATCGGCCTCCGATTGCATAAGGAGTCCTCTCTATTGCCTCCATACTCTCACACTGTACTGTAGCCATAGTCCACAGTGTAGAGTTCGTGATGATGATAAAGTGGGCGAGGTGAGTGAGATAAAGGGCGGGGGGTGTTGTGATTTACTTTGAGTGACCAACAGAATCCAGGGTTGAATTGTTGGGCTCACTCTCGAACAGTCAAGCTTTAAAATCGGCGACATGTACATCAAAACTTGTCTGGGAGTATGTTTAATCCCTTCAAAAATTGTCTTGTCATAATCAAGTCAATTTATATTGGGTTCCTGGTCATTGCGGGATTGACGGAAATGAAAGAGCTGATGCACTAGCAAGACTCGGATTTTCTTCATAGGGCCAGAGCCTTTTTGTGGCTTATCGGCTACCTCTCTTAGAATGGAGCTAAAAGCGTGGCAATCTTCAAAAGTGGAGGAAAACTGGAAGAACACTTCCATTGCTAGGCAGTCGAAGTGATTCATTAATCCAAACATTTCTGTGACCCACAAAATCCTGGAACTTTCTAAGAAAGATCTTATTGTATATATGCAGGTCTTATAACAGGTCATTGTCCAAGCCGTTATCACTTGAAGCTGATTGGAAAACTTCAAGATGATGTATGTCACTTCTGTGGCATAGAAAAGGAAGATTCGGAACATTTGCTATGCCACTGTCCAGCGTAAGTTCTTCGACAAGGGGCTGATAGAACCCTTTGACATTTGGAGAACAACTCCCAGTACGGTAGTGCACTTTATTCGAAGTGTAATACCTTGCTGGAATAATGCTTTTAGTATAATAGAGATTCGGCATTTTGATATAGCTAAAAAAAAATGGGGAATATATCACAATAGATCAGAAAAATGGTCGCAGTGATAAAAACACCCGACAAGGATATAAAAAAAACAGTGCAAGGGGCATGAGGGTACTATTAAATTTCACTTCCCTCATAGTAGCGTAAGAGCTCAACATTTAACGCCACGTCTAGCGTCACATCGTCGTCGTCGTCGTCGGTGGCGTCTTTGGACGAGTACGCAGAAATTTCCCACGATGATCTCAGCCTTCCCTTTTTCCAGTTCTCTGTATTGGAAACTTGGTATTGTACACATAACACCACCAGTAACGGAGTAATGGAGAAGGTGGATTGGCAAACATACCCGCTTACTGACAATCAATATTTTCCTTTTAAGGTGTGCTTCTTCCGCTAACGAATTGACCCGATTAGATTTCCTCCCCGTTGTTGAAGTAAAAACTGTTCCGAGGGTCGAATTTCCTTTGCGGAAGAATTTCTCCGTATCCGTCACGGATGTTTTTCGCCCAGCTCACTTCTCGGAATTGAGCAAATGTTTGGAACTGATAACACGTTCCAGGTACTACTAAGAAGCCGATAAGTCGATTTAAATTCCACAAGTTGATATTTCCAATCATCACACTCTCATTTCCAGCCTCTCAATCAACTTAAGGCGCTTTTCCCGCTCAATCCCAGATGACAATAAAGCCTCCACATAAGTGGAAATGAGTAGACGGAATATCATCCCCTTGTCGACACGACAAGAAGCCTTCCCTTTCCTGCTTATACTTAACACACATCTCACACTACAGCTCACGCAAAGTAGGTATCGCTCTGTTCCCGATTTCGCAGTTTGCATCGCAGATGATGCTGATTGAAAAGCGGTAGAAGTGGGGTGGGGCGAGGGACTCATTTAAACTCAATTTCCTCCACCCACGATGTCCCGCCCGGGGGAGGATTCGCGCTCGTGCATATTTGATAAAAACCGCACACGTGGCTGTGCGCGCTCAAATGATGATGATTTTTCAATATACGATGTAGGTATGCGATAAGAAAAGGGGATGGAGCGCGCGAGGAAATTATCTCACATGTGTTCCAATCAACGAATAAGTTCATTGCGATGAGGTCGGAGAATGGAGCGGATTAATTTGTTTATCGAGTGGGTTTCAAATTATAGCGGGAATTTCAATGGTGAGTTTTAACATTTTCCAACGGGTTGTTCGGGATAAAAGAAGAAGAAAAAGGAAAAGTTGCTGACGTAGGATTACGTCTTTTGGCAACATATTGGAAGCGCAATTTAAAAATACCATAATCGACCGCGATACGAAAATTGTGCAGGTTTTAACCACTTATAAGTCTGTCAATAGCGGATAGAATTTAATTCTAAACAAACCAATTGATTGGAAAATTTTCTACGAATCTGGTCAAAAGAACAATTCATCAATTTTCAATAGGTTACTATTGAAAATTACCCAAAATTTCCAACTGTTGCAATGGTGATCAAAATTATCATTGCCTGCGAAAAGTGCTTTCCCTAACACAGATTTTAAAATCGAATTCCATCCGGTCTCGCCGAACGGTGCTTATTCAATCACAGTGTGTGGAAGCGTCCGGTCAGCAGCATCAGCAGCAGCACTTCGCGTGGCGTTGAACACAATGAAATGCTGCCCATAATAGCAAGCTGCAGTCCTCATGGGCGTCCATTCACCAGAGATGGAAGAAGAAGCCGCACCGCTAGTGATAGGATTCAGTAGCTCTTCGTGAGTCGCTGTGGGCCATCTATGCCAAGCTCGTCACCCTCATTCCAAACAACA